CTTAAAAGTAGGGGACATTTGAGTTGGGACGTAAAAGATGTAGAGAAGATTACCAAGGAAGAAGAAATGGGAAGGACAGTCAGGTATTAGGCACTTCCAAAAGAGACCCAAGTACTTCTACTTTGTTCTTTCTTCCTTGTGTCAAGCCAACCTGTTTAATTTTGCCCCTGTGGCCACAACAGAGCCAGACATCAGATGTGTGAAGAGAGCATTCCTGAATATTCCCTCTCCTTGAGAAATAATCCCCATTGTTTCAGATGTTCCTTCTCTCAAAATGATTTCAGAACCTTTCACAGCCTTGCATTCCTCTCTTTTGAGCCATTCCACCTGACACTGTCCTTTATAAAGAGTGGTGCTCAGAATAAATCATAGGATTCACGGTCCGTCATGGGCATATCTCCTGCCACCTACCCTCACTCAGCTAACAAGCAAAGGTCAGAAAGACCTCAGAGTGATCTGTTAGAAGAAAGAATGCCAAGAGTTATGGTCACATCACATTGTCCCCACCTGTCAGAAACAGTAAACTTTGGATTGCTAGGTCTTAAAACATTCTTCAGCTCTAGAAATGTCCCTGCAGAGGAATAGATAGGTTTATGCATGTTCTCTTTTTACCAGCTTTTGGTACCCCCTGCTGGTGAAATTTTGTGACCCAGTTGGCAAGAAACTCAGAACAGCTAGAGAAAAAATTCCAAGTTTCAGAAGTCGGAAGTACTTGGGTCTTGAAGGATCTGAAGATTCCATGAGTTATGTGACTATCCTATTTATCATGTAACCATTTTATGTGATTTAAAAAAAAAAACATTCTGTAGCTATGGCTATTCCATGGGCTTTAAGTGAAAAAAAATTCTGACTTCTGTAAACATTCCATTAATTCTGCAAACATCACAAGAATTTATGACAACCACCAGAAGAAAATGCTAAGTTGTCAGCCAAAACTATTCATAAGTAGAAATATTTCAGGTTACAAACTAATTTTGTGCAGGTTTTTCTTCTTCATTCCTTGTATGTATCTTTTTTTAAAGTGGTTATAATTTGCAGTCGGATTAGGATGGCAATTTTTGCTGCACTTCAAATTGTAGACTTTTAAATATAAATTTGTACAACAAATTTATTGAGCACTGGCTATGTGCCAGACACTTAGCAAGAAATTGGAGTAGGTGCAAGAAGTCAAAAGCCCTTCACCCAAGAGGTTCTTGCCCTCGTGGGTGGGAGAGTTGAATCACTTCAGTTCAACTAGACAAGTGCTTAGCTGACAAGGCAACAAGGCTTTCTTTGATCTGCTGAGAGGGCTCAAATTACCTATTGGCATGCTTCTAGCTCCACGCATTTCTCCTCCTTGGCTTTCATCACTTTCGTGATTTTATATTTGTTTCTGTATTTACATGTTTAGCATCTGTCTTTGCCAGTAGTTTTTTGAAGGTCAAGGTTGTGTCTGGCTCTTGTCACTGTGATCTTACATCTAGCAGAGACCGGTACATGTAGGTGCTCAGTAAATATTTGTACAGCGGATAAATCAGCCAAGAAGAGAAAACCACAAATCTATTTAGAGGAGCAAGAGAAACCTCAAAGGAGAGGTGATGTTTGAATACTGCTGAGCCTTGAAGGAGGAAGAGGAGGTGGCCAATGGAGAAGAATGGGGACGCATTAGGGAATATAGAGTATTGAGGAATTGTTGGGGGATGAAGATAGGTAGTTGGTGTTTCCTAAGAGGAGGTGTGTGTGGAAGATAAGGCTGAGTTGAAGCCTAGAGCCATAGCCTTAGGGTCTTTCATGCCCAACTCATTGGCTTGGATTTTCCCCTCTTTTAAGGAAAAAAGGGGAAGGGAATCAGTTAAGCTCTGTGGTTATAGGAATAAACATGATTTTTCCTGTATTACCGAAAGGTTTTTTAATACTTAAATTTTCAATTCTAATAGAATAAAGATAGGTCCCAAAACTATGGTTTTTGTGTTTTATTTCCTTCTACATCCCTTCCTTCTATTTCCACTTTGTAGCTGTGTTTGCCAGTTGCCGAAACACCTGTCTATACATTTTTATGTAGAGCATCATCATTACCACGAACACATAGTGTCAACCATGGGCTAAATACTAAGCATGTCATACTCCTGAGTTTTTACAACTTGGTTAGCTGTCCAGTTTTTAAATATCTATGTTTTGGAGAAACTCAGGTTTTCATTTTTTATCCAGGTTTTCAGAGCTACCCAAACATTTCTGTAAAATGCCATTTTTCATAGATGCAGCAAGACCTTTTCTTATTATTCCTTTGGAAACAAATGATTTGTGCCTAAGACAACTCTCTCCATATTATTTCACCCCTACTGGAATGAGATTGGTGGGAGTTCTGCCCCTACGGAAATATCAAAGCTACTAGTACACACTCACTTCTAGTTTTAAAGTTAACTTTCTTATTGGATTTCCTTTTATTTCCTGCTGGTGCAGTGTGAGCAGAGCTCAGAGAGAGGCAACGGATCTGCTGTATATCTTTTCAAATTTATGATTAAGAAGGTCACATATACATTTTTAAACACACTCCTTTTTGATAATAAATGAAGAATAAAATTTTGAAATGCCATCAGTAGTAGACCCACTCATTTCTCTTTCGCTGGTGCTCCCCCTGCCCCCAGTCTGATTGCCTGGCAATGGTGAGAAAAGGCCCAAATGATCCAGTGCTTCGCTCTTTGTTGTCTCTGTCTGCCAGGAGGATTCTGACTACTGGAGCACAATGCCTGTGGCCAAAACAGCCTAACCAAAACACACATTCCTTTTCCCGAGGGTCCTTCTTTCTTCAGGCCAATGGAAAAATAAGAAAAAGAGAAAGAAAGGAAAGAAAAAAAAGAAAGAATTCCATTTTAGGCTACATTTGTCTTCAAATTGTGGCCCAAATCAGGGAGATAAAATTCTCCTGTTGGGGGGCATTTCCTGGATCCAGATTCGCTCTTCCTGCCTCTCCACTCTGCTCTCTGCTTGCAGAGCTAGATCGACACAGGCTCCATGCCTCCGGCTTCCAGTTGGTTTTAGCCAATGAGAGCCGCTGTTCGGAGTTCAGGGGGAGAGGGGAAGATGTAGTCAGGGTGTTTATGTCTCTGGTTCCCTCCCTGGGAGGACCGGCTGGATCCCTTGAGAGAGGCTGCTGCTTCTGGGCCGGTGGTCTTCTCTTGTCTTCACAACTCTCTCCTTCAGGGTTCTGGTTGCTGCTTCTTCTGCTTGTCCCTCTGGACACATGGTGGCCAACAGCTCATCTGTCACTAGAGTGGACCTTGCGTCCCCCTTCACCCTTCTTACTTTTGGCAGTAGTCCTTTTGCACATAAACTCTCCCCAAATTATCCCCACTTGAGTGTGCCATCTGTCATTTTTCTGTGCAGTCTGCACCTAGATTGAGGGACCCATGTGTAGGGGGTTACTATCATACTATCAAACCAGAACTGATGGTAGATGAACTCCCCTAAAATACTTCTAGGTCTAGGGTTATTCTTTCGTATCATACCTCCTCTGACAGGGAGATCATTACCTCTTGAACTGCCTATTTTTGTGACCAAGCAGGCTCCATTTTGGAAAATTATTTCCTACATGGTGCTGAACTTGACTTGTCTGAGAGATCTGTTGTTTCCATGCTGAGGTAGGCATGATCAAGTTTGAAGTTAAAGCCAAGACCTATGGAAAACGGAGCAAGAGACCTGAGAATTTACCCCCCAGATATTTAATATGCCCATTGCCTTCCACATCACAGGAAAAAAATAACTATATTTAGAATCGGAAATGTGGGGAAATCTCAGAAGAACCATGTTGGTTTTTTAGAAATATTTGAAGAACTATTATAGGCAAGAGGTATTAGTCATATTTTTGTATTTCTAATGATCTAAGAACAATCAGTAGAGAAATAGATTTGAAATCCATATGGAGAACTTTGTAACCCTTCAGTTGCCTGGGGAGGTGTCAAAATCTCTATCACTTGATATTCAGGGATTTCACGGTGGGTCTCCTAGAATGAGGCTGGACCAGTAAGGATGACATAAAAACAAGAATAGCAGTTGCCACGTGTTGAATGTTCTCTCTGTGCCAGGCACTGTGCTCCATGTGTTTCGCACTTGATCCCATTTAATCATCATGACCCTAGGGGTTTGGTCTAGTTGTTTCCTGTAGTACATAGAGGACAAGTTCAGAACCTGAAGAGGCTAAAGAATTTGCTGGGGTCATGCAGCCAGCAGAGACAGGATATGAACCCAGGCCTTCCTGGACAAAACCAGTGGTTTTAACCTCCAGTGATGATGTTAGAATGACCTGGGGAGCTAGGTGGCCACACACTGACCTCGCCCTGCCCTGCCTTCATGAGCCAGGGCCTTTGTGTGCTTTTATCAGCTCTTGAAATGATTCTAATTTCCATTAGAGTTTGGGAACCACTGCTTTAAACTAGTATTATTATAAACACCATCTGGTTCTGAGGGTCTTTTATTTCTATGAGAATAGTTAGGCATCCAGTTCAGCTTTCAGTGTTCTCCTTTGAGCTACAATACTAACTACCCCCACCCTCACCCTTCACCAACCAACAGCCCCTACTTCAGTCTACCATTGTTTGGTGTGTTATTTTGTAATCTTAGTCCCTGAAAACATCAGACGCCATTGTGAATCTCATTCAGAGCCTTGGGAACAGAAAGATCAATCTGGCCTCTTCCCCCCTTTGGAAGGAGAGCAAGGGAAGCATCATGCCAAGTCTCATTGATTTCCCTTTTTAAGCTCAAGTAAAGAACATACCTATTGTTGGAGATGAGCCAGGATAAGTCTCAAATTTCTGAGTACAGGAAAGCCATTAATGATTTCAGGAGGTCTTAGGCTTATTCCACCTTGGCACTGAAGGACCCACCATGACTGTTTCTGGAGAATGATCCAGGTTTGGGGGTTGAGGATGATGAGTGGGGAAGAAGAGCAATCTGGTCTTCCCAATGCTTTAATACAACTGAGACCATCTGACTGTGATTTTTTTCCCCTTGCACATGTCCCAAAGGAAGCTGGCCAAGAAGCAGAAGGAGACACAGAGTGGAGCCCAGAGGGAGATGGGGCCTGTGGCCTCAGCCGACAAACCTACCACCAAACTCAGCACCAGCCGCAATGATGAAGGCTTCTCCTCTAGCTCTCAGGACGTTAATGGATTCAGTAAGTTGAGTCAACTAAGGGGAAGGGAATGCCCATGGTCCAGCTTGACCCTGGTACCTCTGCTGTGGACCCCTCACAGTGGTCAGATGCTATAGGGCATGAGCTCAGGATGCTTCCCTGGGATGTTCCAAGAAGGTTCTCCCTGGCAGAGACTCGGGGCAGCCCATCTTGAGGGAAAAGGAGAATTTAAGACTGTCCCCCAAAGCAGGTAGAAGTGGGGGCAGGCCATCTTAACTACTTGTTTACAAAATTAATAATATTTTTTTTAAAAAAGAGGACATGGTTGTGCCCATAAGGAGAAAAACATGCCACACTGAATCGAGTGTCTTACAGTTTTCAAAACAGTGTTTCATATAAACTATGTAAGGTAGGTGCATCACGGATTATTACTGTCTCTGTTTTAAGTGCTTAGGAAACTGAGGCTCAGACAAGCAAGTTCTCCAATGTCCCAGGGCTGTTGAGTAACATATCCAGACCTGGAAGCCAGGCCTTCCAAGCCTGGCCAGGTCCACTGTGAAGCCAGTGTTTCCAAGCGCTGTTCAGTCGGGAGCCCCTGAGCCCTCATTCAGAGTGGATACAGGATCCCAAGCTGACAGAAGTGGCTAAGATTTCAGGACTAACCGTAGTCCAAAGGAGAACCACAGGACTGGCAACATTTAAAGCCACTCAAGAGAGCTAAATTTTGTTCTCATCTTTCTTTAAGCCCGTCTTTTTCCTGGCCTTAATAGAAATGCTGGATCCCCCAGCCTCTGCTCCAGATTGGGGAATTCAGAAACTTTAAAGGACTATGAGCATAGACAAATGTCCTCCACACACTGCATCAATGGCGAGTGGAAGAAACCATAATGTATAAAAATCACATAGATATGATCAATTTGGGGTGGTGAGAGCCCATGAGAAAATGAAGAAAGAAAGGAAACAAATATTTATTGACCATCTTTGTCCGCTCCATGTCCTCCTGTAAGATACTTTGTATGATTGGTCCCCTTTTGTAGATAAGGCATCCAAAGTTCCATGCATTTGGCTGACCTTCTCAGAGTGACCTAGCTAATTCCCGATGGATCCAGGTTCTGAGGGTAACCCAGACCCATGATTGCAAACCTCATGTGCAGCACAGAACCCATCTGAGAAAGTTTTCAAAGAACACATATGTAGGCTGTGCACCTTACCAACTAAATCGAAATCTCCTGAGAGAAGGAGGGGGAGGGAGATGAGGGGTAGGGTAGGATGTGGATTTTGTGAAAGCCATTTAGAGGGTTCTTAGAGACACACTGGTTAAGAACCCTGAACTTTGAGGGAAGCAATAGCCGTTTTCAAATATTGACATGCTGCCTTAGGAAAGAAATTAGTTTTACACCTATAAAAAGGTTGAAAAAATAGTAAAATGAATACTCCGATACCTTGTACCTAGACTCACCAATTATTCACATGTACTCTCTCTCCGTGTGTGTGTGTGTGTGTGTATCGATATGTATATCTATATACTGATGATAGATAGATAGATATAATTTTCTGAACCATTTAGAAATAGGTTGCAGACATCATGACCCTCTATCTCCAGAGAATTCAGCATGTGCTTCCTAAGAACTAGGACGGCACTTCAACATAACCACTCTGAAATTATCTTACCCAAGAAATGTAACCTTATTTCGGTATCTAATATACCGTCTACAGTTGAATTTCCTCAGCGGCCCCCACATTGTTGTTGTGGTGGTGGTTTTAATCCAGGGTCCCGTCAAGTTGTTCACATTATATTTGGTCATCATGTCTCTCCATCACCTTTCACCTAGAATGGCCCTCCCTCCTTTATTTTTTCTTTCAGGCCACTGACATCTTTTTTAAAAAGTCTAGGCCAGTGGTCCCATAGGATGTGGCACAATCCAGATTAATCTGATGTTTTTTCATCATGATCACATTCAGGTCAACATGTTGGCAAAAATTTGACCTAGATGGTATCATATACCCCCCTTTGCGTTGTATCAGCAGACAAACGCGATCCCGTTGCCTGTTGTTGGCCGCGCTGAGTCTGCGCACCTCTTAAGATTGTGTAATAGCTTTAAAGATAAAATCTAACATTGCACACTGATTATTTCATGAGCAAATATTTAACTTCCGTTTTCCTCAGAGAGCAGAGCAAGTTTATAGTCTGCCTACCCACGAAGCCAGTCCTCTTTCCTTTCTCAACGCAGATGAATCGCAGGGATCCATACCTTCCCTCAGGAAGGGGAAAAGGGGAGAGTGTCATAGGCGTCCAGGAGAGGCAGACAGGGAGTTGACAGGGAAGTGGGCTCGGTGTGTCCTTACAGAAAGGTCCATCCAGAGCTCCCTGAGAATCTCTGCCTGGATTAACCTGTCACAGATTCTCCTGCTTTTGGCCCAAGGGCCAGGAAGTTCAGTAGCAAGTCTAGCTGATAGAATATCCTGGCCAAGTGATACCCATTCACCCAAAACCTGTCCTGGCTAGGCCAGATTCTTTTTTTTTTTTTTTTTTTTGTTTATAGTTTATTTCCATTGTTGAGAATGGGACATTTTTTTTATTAATTTTTTTATTGTTATGTTAATCACCATATATTACATCATT